GTGTAATTCTGTTGAGCTCAGTGGCATTACCCTTCATCAATAGCACAGCCAAGACTGAGCTTCATCAGGATTGTTTCTGCTAGTCACTTTGTGGTGATTGTCTGCTTTGTTTTTCTTTTTGTCTCAAGGCTCGTTTGATTTTTCTGTGTTCAGCATCACTGTACGCTGGCAGCTGAGTTCCAAGCAGATTAAATACTTTTATTTATTTTTTTAAAAAACTTTTGCCCTAGAACAAGTGAATACATACGCACACTTCAGCTGTCTGCCTCCATCTGTTTGATGGTAGCAGACCTGAGCCTTGTGGCTTTGAGGGCTCAGCACTGAGACTTCCTGGTGGTGACCCAGTCTCAGCAGTTCATCCTTTGCAGTTCTTGTGAGCGCTTGTGGTTCTGCTGCTGGTCTTTCGCCTATGCCAGTATTAGGACCACAGCTGAGACTTCCTTAGCTTCATCTGATGCTATTAGCCATTTCCGCCAAAATCTTTCTTTTCTGTTCTTAGTTTTGGTCTATTACTATATCCTCCTTTACTTCACCCTTTCACTTCAAAGACTGCCAGTGCTTCTTATATTCCAGTGAATCCCAGTTTCCTTCATAGATCTTACACATAATTGCAGCAATCGTTTAACCTATGACTGGTGTGCAACTTCTTTTGAAATTAAAGTCAGGCTTGTCTTCAGGACACTGGTTAGAAATCATGCCGTTGATCTAGTTGTTGTGGGGGTTTTGTGGTTTTCTTTCACCCTCCCATCATCTGTGTCTACCAGTAAGGGTTCTGACACTACACGTGGATTAACAATTTATGTTTTGTTTTACTTTTCAAAAAGACATAGCTAATCAAAATCTGATTTAACATTTAAAATGTTTGGCACATATGATGCAAACAGTCTAGAGAGTCAACCTAAGAATTCTACAGCCTGCATTTCAAAGATACGGTGTCGATGGAGAATCCCCACGTTGAGTGAGGACAGGGAATGTTGTCAGACCACTGTGGCCATACAGTCTACTGAAGACTGTAATCCTTGCTTTATCTCTTTAATTTTTTTCACTTTTCAGCAAGTACCAATCATGGAATTATTTTTAGATGCAGTTCCTGCGGCAGCACTGCTAAGAAGGAACTTATTCGGCTGTGTAGATGCAGGTGTAGATGGAAAAGAGCTTCTGGACCGTTTCATTGAGCAGTTATTATCCACAGAACGCATTGAAGTATGGGGCTTGTTTGTGGGGTTTGGGCCATACTGCATAGCCTTACATGAAACTTCATGCTTTGCTTGTCCACTAAGGAAAGGAGTGCAATGTCATGATTTAAGTGCAAACCCATACAAAAAGTTTGTTACTGTGATCTGATGCGCAGTGTAACTTTGATCTCTGACACAGCAGTTCCTTGGTGTGCTAGCAGTACAAGTCGTTAGATGTGCAGATGCCCTCATTTCCCTTTGCTGAATTATGAGTGAAAAGATGGACCTTCTAACACATCAATCGTTGCAAACAGTTTTCAAAATAGAGATCGTATGCTTGGTGAAGTTGCAGATTAGCAAAGCAACTAATGAATTGTGTCTTACCCTACGTAATGGGTTAGATTTTGATCAATGAAACAAGCATTGCCCTAGGGAAATGGCAGTTCTCAGGATAACGTGTGAAAGAGGGAAATTGGCTTCCTCTGGTTCAGATCGATAGTAAGGCTCATTCTTCTTGAACTGGCATTGGGCACAACCAGTCCTTCTCTGTAAAGCAGAGCCGAAGCACGAGTGTAATTTTGAGAATATGCATGCCAATTCAATAAATATATGTGTGTGTGCTTAATTGTTTGGGTTTTTTTTATGAACCAGCGTCTTAATTCTGCTGGGATTTGCTGTCAGGCAGTAAAAGATAGTATATACTTAAGCTTGTATATTACTCCATTAATAAGCTGATTTTATTGTTGTCTTTTGCCTGCTAATAAATACAGCTTTTGTAAGAAAGTTAATTTTCTTGTAATTGGGATCAATGTTGTCAGAAGTTGTATTGTTTTTTCATAGCGTTGAATCAAGAACAAGAGATCAGCAGAGCTGCTGCAGTAGGTACCCTGACGGCAGTATCAGCAAATGGATTGTTTGTTCTTCCAGTCTTTTGGCGCTGCTATCAAGTGGTGGGGAGCACAAACAGCGGGTTGTTATCATGGCATCACCCTTGATTCCAGGCTCCTGCATATGGGTACATGTCTCCATACTCTTGCAGGCACGCAAAATAAAGCGCCTGTTTGGTTTTATGGCTAAAAAGTGAAAGGGTTGCTAGTGTCGGATCTCAAAGGCGTTTCCCTCTGAGTTGTGGTACTGGTTTAGCTTCACTGATCCACCCAGCAAATGCAGTGCTTGGCCTTGGATGAGTTGCCTCAGAAAGCTTACTATTAGAAAATGGAACTTCTCTAAACACTGACATAATGAGAGACTCCTCCATCCTTTGCATCATCGTTTTCAGCCGTTTGAAAGTGCAATCATCTGTGTAGGAGACGAAACTTCTCTTTGATGGCCTGTTTGTTTGTCATTCAGTGATCTCAGAAGCTTCATAAACATTCAGCAGTTGAGCCTTTCGGTCTTCCAGCTGGTACTTTAGTCTTCTTTTGCAGGAAGGAAAACTAAGTCACCGAGACTTTAAAAATGGTGCTGACTTGTAGCCTAGGCAATTTAGAGATTAAAAATAAAAAGTGAATTCAGGTACTATACTCCTCATACAGATGCTGGTTTAATTTTGGTGGTTCGAACGACCATAATTACATATTTTAAAATAACGTTTTCCCATCTCTTCTGGCTCTGGAGAAAACAGATGCAAAATAAGCAAGGCAAGGATGGGTACGGGGGCGGTGTACGTGCAGCCTCCCTGGCCTCTCTGTTTAACTTTTAATACAGGTTAAGCTCTTGGGGATTGATCTGGGAAATGGCTTTGGAGCCCGAGCCTTGCCCGGCTCATCCACTCCTCGTCCCGCTTGTGGTCAGGTGTAGGTGTCTGGGCTGACAGAGCCAGCATGGGGAGGCAGAGATAAAGACTGCTCACATCCATAAAATCCTATTTTTTTTTGCGTTGATTGCCTCAAGAATGGCTTCTAGATTTATGGGCTGTTTCCTCTCTGCTTTTCTAGCCCAGCAAGCCTTAAAAAGTCCTTCATGTGTAGCATCAGCAAAAGGGGCAAGTGCCCATCAATGTGGATGAGGTGCTCCCACCAAAAGTGTGTTGAGGAGAAGGGGTACCATGACCATTGTTTTAACAGAAGGCAGTGGCTGCCACTTCGTTTTTTTGAGAGGCCTGATCCTATCCATGCATTTAATGTATGAGTTGAAAGCTCCTGTTGAATTGATCCACTTGGGGAGCATGGAGAGATGCTTAATTTCTTGGTCCCGATCAGACTGAAGCTAATGCTGACTTGGTAAGTCTTGTAAGTAGTTTTGTGATATCTGGTAGCTTTGAGTGTGAGCAGTTGTTAGGGTCCTGGCAAGTTTTAAAGAAGAAAGGTTGGAGATTGTGTTGCTTTCAGGTTCAGGATGACAAAGTGGGTGTTTTCTCTTTTGGCATGAGCAACTTACTCTGCTTGTGTCTCAGGCTGGATGCCTGAGAATATTAATGGACCTTGCTGTGCTGGTCAGTGTCAGATCCTCCGGCTTGCTTAAATAAGTCCTGTCTACTTGTCGCCAGAAGAGCATGTAACTGTTTTCACTTGCAAAGCAGCTGATTTTCTATCCATAGAGCATTCTCCTCTCGGCTCAGAGGCTGAAGCCGATGTGACTTGGTGTATTTTGTGAGTGGAGGCTTGTTAATTGAGCGTATAACTGTGTAATTGTCTGTACAATTATCCGATTGATTTTTTTTTTTTTTTAGCTTTGCGTACAAATACAGGAGCACAGTCATACAGTTGGGCAAATTTTCCAAAAGCAGATGTTTAATTAAATCTATACATTGAGCATGCAGATGTGAACACCATTAAAAAGACTTCTCCAGATGGGATAACCTCCTCTTTTCTTTTGATATGTGGATATGCTCACCTGAACGTGTTCGTCTGAGTGTCACATACCATAGTTTCTGTATTACCTCTGTCCTTTTTCCTTCTAAATACATGGACTGTTTCATTGGTGTGGGAGATGGCAGTTAACATAGAAATTGTTCAGAGGATGATGAATGTGTGTTCTGACTTTTATTGTGCTTGTGGTGGTTGGTGCTATGGTACCTTTAAAGCAGTTCTATTCTATATGAAATATTAATTTGAAATGTGGATTTTTGTTTTGTAGAGGAAAGCCTACTTAAATGATGGGGGTTGTTGGCAGTTGCAGTCCAGTGCAACTTCTGAGAGGCAAAAAATGCTATTAAATTTGCAAATAATGGTGCTCTTGAAGTTTTCTCTGCGCTCTGTGGTTTCTGTGTTTGGAAGCTGCTGATTTGCAAAGAATGAGTGATCTGGCAGTTTGGACCTTGCAAATCTTGGCTGTTGCAGTGACTAAAACCCCAAATGGCTCATGTTTGAGGTCTGCTGTGTTCATTCACTACGAAAGAAAACACAATAATACTGCTTTTCTTTATAACATGTCCTTTTATATAGAATTAAACCTACATTCAGTCGTTTTGAAGTGGCTTTGAAAGAAGTATATAGGAAGGTAGTTTCAATAACATGCAAAAAGTTCCTGAATATTGACAGAGCTGTGCCACACGTGTACATGTGATTGACAACTTTATCTGGCCAAGGGTTGTCTGTTCTTATTCATAGACCCACAGAATGGTCTGGGTTGGAAAGATCCTTTAAAGATTATCTAGTCCAACACTCCTGCCACGAACAGGGACACCTTTTACTACATCTGGTTGCCCAAAGCCCCGTCCAGCCTGACCTTGAACACTTCCAGGAGGCTTTGCCTCCCAAGCTCATGGCAATGTCAGAAATAAGACCTTGGGCAGGGGTGCGAAAGGCGTCAGAGTTGGCGATGCCATTTTAATCTGAATGACAACCACTCCCCTAATGCCCTTTTCTCTTTATTTCTTTGCAGATGTCGCTCCTATGAGGATTGCTGTGGTTCACGATGCTGTGTCAGAGCTCTCTCTATCCAGCGGCTATGGTATTTTTGGTAAGTCAGGGCATTTGGGAATTTTATGTTTGTCCTGTTCTTGTCCTTTTTGTAGGACTTAAATCAGTGTATTGTCAGCCCTAGAGTTTTGAAGTAAAGTAGGTACAAGTATGCCACAGTGTGTATGTGTATATAAGTGCAAGGACTTCAGTTTTTTGCTTAGAAAATTCTCCTAGTGTGGTGAGAAAACACTGGAAAAGGAGGTTGCTTGTGTCAGGTTGCCCTTTCTTGTTTCTGCATCCTACTAGTCTGTATGGGCAGCAGTCTTGCTTTTATCCAAAGTTGCTGAATTCCTTATGCCTGTCCCAGCTACTACCAAGAGGCAGCGTTTGTCCGTTGTTCTTGGGCACTCAGTTTTAGAAGAGGATTGTATAAGGAGGATTGTGCATTTAGGCAAGGTTTAAGATATTCTTGCCAGCTGAATTGAGGCTTCAATTAAAAAGGAAGAGAAGTACATTTATGACTATGAGGATTTCACTGGAGATGACAGCAAGGGAAAAGAAGGCAGAAAGATTTGAGCTTGTGAAACCAGCAGCTCAGTAAGCTGGATAAAGCTTAAACTAATCACTGTTATATGCATAATGAAAAAATAAGGTAAATTCATTTTGGAGAGGAATTTAAGAAAGCACCTGAATAAAACCTTCTCCTTACAGTAGAGAGAAAGCAAAAGCTCTCCTAGAAAAACCTGATTTCAGGCATTTTTACGTAGAATTTGAAGACTACTTAAAAAACAGCCTTCAAAATTGAAACAAATAAACACTGGGAAACAGAAGCCTGATATATACTATAATACAGAGATTTCCCAAAGCTGACTGTGGGATTTCAGTGTCCAATCCTTACTGATACAACTGAAGAGCTCTGCATCTCAATCCCTGGGGTGACGTCGGAAATCTCTGTTTTTCTGTTCAGAACAAATCCTTTGCAGGAACGCTGCCAAAAGAGAATGTATTAATATTGGCTCAGGGAAGCAGGACCTCCTTCTGCTCTCGTTTCCACCGTAGAAACAAGAACAGAATTTGACCCTTTG